GGATAAAATGCTTAGGAGTAAAGCTTGCAGGTGCAAAACGTCACTGAGAGAAATGAAAGAAGATCTTGTCAATGGAGAGAGCCCCCATGCTCGTGACCAGAAGACTCCACGTTATAAGACGCCGAGCCCCGCACGCCAACGTGTGCCCTCAGGGCGGCCCTCTCACAGTCCCCACTGCCTGTATTGCAGAAATCGGCAGGCTGATCCAATGTCCATATAGACATTGGGACTCAGAAGGGCCCAAACAACCTTTAAGAAGAACAAAGTTGGAGGACTCGCTGTCTGATTTCCAAGACACTACAAGGCTCTGGAATCAAGACGGCTCAGTGCCGGCACAAGTGCAGCTGGATGAAATGAAATCGCATTCCTCATGTGCCTTATACTTGAACAAGGCCATTCTGTGGGGAAAGAAGAGTCTTTTCAATGAGCCAAGCCGAGGCAACGACAGCCACACGCAGAAGGGGGGCGTCGGGCTCCTACGTCACACATGTACGCATGGGAGCTCCAGCCGGTTCCTAGACCTAAATGACAGAAGCCCAAACTGTTAAGCTCTTGGAAGAAAACGTGGGCGTAAGGCTTCATGACTTGGAGTCGGCAATGATTTCTAAGATCTGACACCTAAAAACAGGCAGCCAGCGGAGACCTCAACACTTAGCCTCTCTCACAGTGAGAAACTAGTGTGCCTCGGTGGACATCGTCGAGAAAGTTGGAAAAAAAAAACCACCGTAGAGTTGGAGAAAATGTTTGCCAATCCTGTCTCCAATAAGGGATGTGTGTTCAGAATAGATAATTATAAAATGGGCCAGTATTTGACTAGACGTTTGTCCAGAGAAGATACACAAATGGCCAGTCAGCACACAAAAGGATGCTCTAGTCATCAGGGAAATGGGAACTGTGATGAGGCACCACTTCACACCCATCGTGGTAGCTAAAATAAAGCCCAGACAATGACGAGCGTCGGTGGCGATGTGGGGTAAGTGGAGCCCTGAAACGCTGCCGGAGTCGTGGGAAACAGAGCAGCTTTGAAAATTGCCCGTGCTTCGGGAGGTTGCACACAGAGATGCCTGTGACCCAGCGGCGCTACCCTGAGCTGCGCAATCCGAAGAGAAGGCCTGCGCCCACACAGCAGCTTGTGTGTGAATGGTCGTGACAGCCAGACGGCGAGGCGCGCCGAATGCCCATCAGCAGGTGCACAAATAACACGTGCCTCACGGGGTCGGGCCTTCAGGACCTCGCGCTGAGTGTAGCAGCCAGACGCAGAGGAGGTACCTCATACCCTTCCTTGCGTATGAAGTGCCTGGAAGAGGCCAGTCTATAGAGACGGAGTCAGTAGCTACCCCGCTAATGGTACAGAGTTTCATTGGGGATGATAAATAGGTTCTAAAATGAGGTAGGGGAAGAGTGCTTGGGTGGCTGTGTCGGTTGAATGCCTGACTCTTGATATCAGATCAGGTCTTGATCTCACAGTTGTGAGTTCAAGCCTCGCATTGGGCTCCATATTGGGTGTGGATCCTACTTTAAAAAAAAAAAAAAAAGTGGTGAAGGTTGTATAATCACCACTGTGAATTCTACTAAGCACCACTGAATCCCACACTGTAGAAGAGTACGTTCTGGGGGCACTTGGGGGGCTCGGTTGGTTGGACGTCCGACTTTGGCTCAGGTCATGATCTCGTTGTTCATGGGTTTGAGCCCCGCGTTGGGCTCTGTGCTGACAGCACGGAGCCTGGAGCCTGCTTTGGATTCTGCATCTCCTTCCCTCTCTGTCTCTCCTTCACTCATGGTTTGTTCCTCAAAAATAAATTCACGTTAAGTTTTTTTTTTTTTAAAAAGGAGTACATTCTGTGGTATATGAATGATATGTCAGTGCAACTGTTATTTTTAAAAAATTAGCATTAACAGATGAACATTTGTATTTGATTTTGATGGCAGGGAACATTAACTATGAACCCTGGATAAGCAAATGATCTCTCCTCTTCTCCCTAAAAGAGGTTTGTCCTTCTCATCAGTAGGGCTGGGAGCAGAAAGTCGTGCTGAATAATCGTTGGAGTTCCGTCGATAAAACATTGTGACACTCTTCTTTTTGTGAAAGTACCTATAATTATATCCTTGGTTAGCCTCTTGGCCTGTAACGTTGAAAATATTGCCTGGCTCTCTGCAGAGAAAGTTTGCTGTGTCTTGGTCCCTTGCTCTAGCACGTTGCTTCTTCTGCCCGGTGTCTCCCCTGCCTCGAGCCCAAACTTCCATTTGCTCTTTTAATACTCCACTTCGGGGACCTTTCCTTCTGCAGGAGGCCTTGCTTAGCTGCAAAGTAGGCTTCCTAGGTGAGTCCTATAGCGTATGTAATGGCAGCAACCATACCCCGGTCATTCGCTTCTGTGTCTGTGTTTGGCAACAGGCCGTGCACGTCTGACAGGCAGGGACTGGGTTGAAGGCAATCTTCAATCCCTTACAATCCCTAGCGCCCTACAGTCCCTAGCGCCCTACAGTCCCTAGCGCCCTATAGAAGACCCTGCGGTCATTGTGGGATGAAGAGGTGAGTCCACATTCGTGTACAGACCTGGGGATGCCAGACAGGAGACGTGAAGCCAATGCCAGATAACCTGCTCCAGGTGAAGAGCTGTGGGAACTCTTCTCATTTCTCCATTTAGAGTGTGAGCAGGGGAGGGGCAGAGAGAGAGGGAGAGGGAGACACAGAATCGGAAGCAGGCTCCAGGCTCCGAGCTGTCAGCATAGAGCCTGTCTCGGGGCTTGAACTTCATGAACCGTGAAATCATGACCTGAGCCAAAGGGCGCCTAACTGAGTCCCCCAGGCACCCTCCCTCCAAAATACAGCTTTTGACTATTAAGGGAGAATGACCTAATTACAGGAAAAATCAGAAAATAAAATTAGTGTCCTCCTCCTACTCACCAAGATATAAGCTCCTTAGTGACTTCTTAGTTCATTTCTCTGAGACATTTTAATGCACATTAGTGTGTGTGTGCATGTGCATTAACAAAAAAATTAGATCGTACTTTGGTGTAAACTCTCATGTACACTGTGAATAGCTTTCTGTGTCAGGAAACGTGCTTCATAATTTCTATAACAATTATATCTCATCGCCTGGATGAGCCGTAACTTAACGGAGTCCTCCTTATGTGGCATTGAAGTTGTTTTTTGCAGGTTTGCCTTGATTGATGGGTATCTGACCAGCGCTGCAGCAACCAAATCCGCGCACATGACGGTGCTTATTTGGTTAGGATACATTCTCAGAAGTAGAATTATTCGGTTGAAAGTACATGCCCATGTTTGAGAAGCTCGATATGTGTCCTCACACTGCCCTTCAGAAAGAGCACTTGTCCATGTGAATTTTGAAAGTCCCTTCTGTCCGCCTGATAAAACTTTATTAGCATCTCTGAAGGTGTTACCTCTGCTGGGGAGAGAGGTATGTTCGTGCTCAAGGAGAAAGAGCCAGCCTTGGCAGCTCAAACAACAAGGAGTCCCCTCTTCCATAATTAAACAAGTCACTTTTTGACCGTCTTTGCTTTATATGCTATGAACAGTAGAGAAAATGACAGCATCTGTCTCTGCCTCTGGAAACTTGGAGTCTGCGTGGTTCTGTCGGATCTTCCTGTTAGAGGACAGGCCCTATCTCCGCAAGATATCACTGATAGGGAATGTCCGGTTTCAGGTGTGGGCCAGCCAAACACACGAGATAAATGGAAATATACCGATAGGACCTACTTGGCCATCAAACACATTTTCCCTTGGAGACTTGGAACTGACCCCACTCAGCCAGAAATATGTTTTGCAGGTTCATGAGATCTGCAAGCGTGCCCAAGAAATTAAGTAAAAGCTTGCTAATTATGATGGGTGTCGACAGAGGGATTGGCCCCTCACTCTTCTCTGTTGGCATAAAAGTGATTTTTATGCATTGGATCAAAGTAAAAATTGGGTTAGTAGATGGTGTGTAAAGATTTGATCTTTTAAAATCTTTTGAGTTCATTCTTACTATGCTTTTCCTTCTTTTCCTCATCTTATTCATATATTCATATCTGTTTGCTGAGGACCTGCCATAGGCCCTGTCTTCTGAGTAATTTTTAAAATGTTGCTGTTGTCCATCTTTCTAATCTTTTTTCCTTTATTGTCTACTGGTTTTAATCATAATTTGTCAAATGGAAGGCTTTTTAAAAGGCAAGACAAAGTAGCAAAGCAATTAAAACGATTGCTTAAAGTCCCAGTTGAGGGAAAGAGCTATAAACTTATATGTTGTAATATTATATAGCCAAAGAATTTGTGGCAACATGGGGGTAATGCTCACAGACCAGTAAGTGAAGTCCAATTACAATATTCTACAAATAGCATGAGTTCAAATCTCTGATTTTTAAAGCATACAGAAGAGACCAAAGGAAGCAGTCCAGATTATTCCAGTTTTTACTGGAGGGTAGTTTTGCTTCCTTCCTGCTATTCAGCTTTTCTTCAGATTTTTATAACGGGCGTATGTAACCAAGGGGAAACATAAAATTAAAATGCCAACATAAAATATTTTATATGTGTTATTTTTTAGACAATAAGGTAAAGAAACAGGGACTGAACCGTTTAACTGTTAAATGTTAAAATCTCCTAGTTATATGAACACTCAGAGTGTGCTTCAGAGTGGGAAGCACAGAAGAGAAGACATTTAATTGTGAGTATAGTTTGGAATTCATACTGAATTTTAGATGATCTACAGTACTTGCATTTATTTAAAAACAGCTGAGTTGTTTATTAGCATTTACCGTGAATGTCGGGTCAGGTTCATTGAGATCATAAATAATGTAATGATAATCTCAGTAATAGATGCCAGATGAATGGATTGTCGTAAAGTGTTCTGACTGACCGTGGTCTGTGGTGTGTTATTAGCGTGTACCATCTGTGTCGAACATTCGTGGCAGGGAACGTATGTGTGAGCGTGTGGGAAGTAACGGCGTGTGAAACTTGTCATTTAGTCTTGTTCATTGAACCCTGTCTAATCTCATTTTAGGAGAATGACATCTTCCTGGGCTGGGAAAAAGGAGCTTATAAGAAATGGGGAAAGAGTAAGAAAAAGTGCTCAGATCTAACTCTAGAAGAAATGAAAAAACAGGCTGCCGTCCAGTGTCTTCGCTCCGCTTCTGATGAAGTAGGTTTCCGTTTTATTTCTAATATGTAAGAGAAGGAAAAAGAGGTGGGGTGGGGGTGGGGGCGGGGTGGGGTTAAAGGTATACAAATACAACATCTTGACCAAAAAAACTTGGAAAACCAACTCCTCATTGTCTTACCATTGTAATGCAAACAGTATCCTTTTTTTCCTTTTTGGCATTTTTCTACGTAAATTGAGTTTTATAATATATATATATATTTTTTTTTACTTTCTTAACGTTTTTATTTATTGTTGAGAGAGAGGCACAGAGCGTGAGGAGGGGAAGAGCAGAGAGTGGGGGAGACAACAATCTGATGGAGGTTCCAGGCTCCGAGCTGTCAGCACAGAGCCCGACGCAGGGCTCGAACTCAAACCGTGAGATCATGACATGAGCCCAAGTCGGACGCTTAACCGACTGAGCCCCCCAGGTGCCCTTATTACTGGATATTTACTTAGATGTTTTTTTGTTTTTGTTTTTAAAGTAATCTCTTCACTCAGACTCATGAGTCCCAAGATCTTCAGTCCCATGGCTCTGACTGAGCCAGCCAGGAGCCCCTCTTTGGCTCGCTTTTGATTTTTTGTTGCACTCTCCAGAATGTTTTCACGTGAGGCCTTTCCGTGTCCTGTTACTTCTTTTAGATACATTTCTGGAAGTGGGATAGCAGTGCTGGTATTCCAAGGACACCGTGTTTATGATTCATAATTTTCTGTTTTTCGGAAAATATCTTAAGATTATTTTTTAAGCTCTGTGCCTGTCGCATGCTCTGCCCACTGAGCCAGCCAGGCACCCCCATCTTACAGATGATTTTATCAGTCTTCTGATACTTCGTAAAATATTTCCCCGTCCTTCATCCTGACAGGACAAAATAGTTTTAGATTAAAATCACCCGTTTAGATGAACACTTGGCTAATTCTGATTACTCGCTGTAAGATGGACTCTCAGATCCTAACTACTTAGGAACTGATTCTGCTTTCACCACTGCTCACGGTCGTGCGGTTGAAGTGCCTTTTGTAAAGCAGAGTTGAATTGAGAGGATTCATACCAGTTACGGAAACTTCCTCCTGGACGGAGTCCTCTAACGGCTGCTTCTGGGGTAACCAGGTTTGCTACCTCTGATCATCTGTGGAAGTTTCTTCTTTGTGGCTGCCGCCCGCCACACGTGCCTCCCAGCGGTGCGCTCCCCTCCTGCTCACAGTCGTGACAGCCTGGGCCCCCCTGTTTGGGCTCGTTGTGCCTTGGGCAGGCCTCGCACCGTCCACTGCGGGTGTCCGTGCTCTGCTCCTCGGGGCCCGAGGCTGTGAGCCGCCCGGGTGCGAGCACGTAGGAGTGTTCCCTTGTCAGCCTGCCCTTGTCCACTCCCGCTCTTCTCCTCTCCCCTCCCCTCCCCTTTGATTTGTTAACCTCTGATTTCTTGAAAGCACTGCCTCATGGACTGTGGGCTAGGAATTGGGAAGTAACCGCTCCTGGGCTGCCTGAATCAGGTACCGTTTCAATATAGCAAGTGGGACACACGAGCCTGGCCTAAGGAGGGAGTGGGGGGCGCACCTGACGCACGGCGGGGGTCTCACTGAAGCGAGTGCTGAACGGCGAGCAGAATGATGGACAGCCAGAGTCATTTTCTCCAATGATCCACAATCTCTCCTTCATTTCCCTTTCTGCTTCTGGGTCATTCCCTCTCGTCCGAAGGCTGCTGAGGGCTGGGGCCCAGCACTGGTCACCTAGGGAGAAATCAAGTGGCTGGAAGTCCACCGGTCGGGTGCGTGGCAAGGAGGGGGCAGAGTTGCCTGGGGACCCCGTCCGTGAGCAGGCGCGGTGCTCACACAGGAACGAGGTGGTCGGGTCTGTACTCAAAAGCTATTTTCTGTCTGACCCCGAGGGGAAAGTAATTTGGAGGGTCAAATGCAGGTGGTTTTTTTTTAAAGGAGAGGTTAGTTCAGGTAAATTCTTGGAGCAAAATCCAAGGCAGCTGCTGAGTCATGGCTGGGAAGAAAATGCGCGCTGAGAGTTTCAGTCTGGGTGGGATCTTGTTTCTGCTCTGGACCAAAGTGGCTGAGAAATGACTCTTGCCTTCGACTCAAGGCAAAGGGAAGCTGAGTGGAAGACAAGTGCGCCCTGAGTGAACTGTTGAAGAATGAGGCCTCTGGGCGCCTTCTCCTAGCCTGACATGGGCCCTGGTCCTCTGGCGCTGAGCTTCTGTGTGACTGGGACCCTGGTGCCCTGGTTGCTGAGCTCCTGTGTAACTGGGACCCTGGTGCCCTGGTTGCTGAGCTCCTGTGTGACTGGGACCCTGGTCCCCTGGGCGCTGAGCTCCTGTGTGATTGATACTTGCAGGGCATGGCATGTGTTGTAAAGCACTTGATATGAGGTAGACAGAGGAGAGCAATTCTTTACATTGTTGCTTTGGAGAAATGGTTTTCTCTGCTGTGGGGTCAAAGCTGGGATTGTTGTTTTCAAACCCAGTGAACTATACTTGTCCAATTTAAAAATTCTTATTTTATAAAATAGTTGTTGCATTGCTTTTTCCTAGTGATTGTTTTTAATCCTATCAAATGAAAATTAGCTGAGGCAATGAACGGGCCGGGCCGGGGCCAGGCCGGTACCGGAGCTGGGTATGTGCTTCGGGAGTGAAGGAAGTGGAAGAAGGAAGTTCTCAAGCCCCTCCTGCCTTTTTCAGACCACCTGCTGGAAGATGTGCAGCAGCGCGGGCTCCTCAGGCCGGCTCTCCTGGCTTTTGGGGAGTCAGTGGAAAGAACTTGGGGGGAAAACAATCTTCTTCCCTTCTTCCCTAACAATAGGAAGGAATCTGTGGATGTTCATAAACTGTAGCCTGTGTGTCCCCAGGCTTTCCTGTCTAGAATCTGCCTGCTGGCTGCAGTGAAAATAAAGGTACAAAGAGGTCCTGCAGAGGAAAGTAGGATGCTAGCGTCTTGTTTTCTGTTTTGGCCACAGTGAATGTTTGCACACGGGTGTGATGTTCATTTCCTAATACTGAGGATGGCCACGTACGTGGTTCTGTGCTTCACTTTCCTACCCAGCCCCTACCCGCTGATCAGAGTCAGCGGTCAGCGGCCACTCACTAGCTGGTTTACAGTCTGACTGAAACCTTAGCGATGTAACTACGGGACAGTAACGTGACCCATACTCTCGTATCGGCGGGGCCAGCAGAGGTGAGGGTGAGCATCGCCTGTGAGACGCAGTCTTTTCTTGCGAACTCCGCATGTGCCTGTGTGACTATACAGGCGCAGTGTTCGTTGGCTCTGGAAAGGCAGCCATGGCATCGGGCTCCGTGCGTCACGGTTGCCATAAGGTGGCTGGCTTCCTGGACCCCGCCTTTCCGTCCTCATGATGTGGTACTTCCTCCTTGCACTTGGTCCCTGCAACACGTTGTGCCCCGCATTACGGCCTTGACCTGCTGAGCTCAGTGCTCGACATAAGAGACGCACCAAAATAGCACGGGACGCAGTTACGTCAAATTTAATTGTATGCGTTGATTACAATTTGGCAGCACCTGTGAAGAATTTGTGCATTTGGTGAGCAGTCATTCCTCCAGGAGATCGTGACCTTCCCAGGCCTTGCCGTCTGCTGAAACGGCCTTTGCTGATTCCCTTCGCTTGCACGTGCAGATAACACATGGTTCTCTGGCCATTCATTTTCTTTCTTTATTTTTTTTTATGTTTCTTTTTGAGAAAGAGAGAGTGCATGTGCAAGCACGAGCTAGGGAGGGGCAGAGAAAAGGGGAGAGAGAGAGAATCCCAAGCAGGCCCAATGCTGTCAGCGTGGAGCCCGATGTAGGGCTCGAACCCACAAACTGTGTCATCATGAGCTGAGCCGAAACCAAGTTGGACACTCAGCTGACTGAGCCGCCCTCGCCCTTGGCTGTTCATTTTCTGTAGCATGTTTTGCACCTGCTGTGGCTGCAGTTATGACGGGGCCGATGCAGCTCCCACGTCCCCCAGTGTGGTTTTATTGAGCAATGCTGTCCTGAGCTGTCTCTCGTCAGTGGCCGTGGCCCACGCCTGGTGATAACTATCTCCAGACTCCTCTCCCCATTTTAAAAAACATAAAGCAGTGTTGAGGTTCGTCGGCTGTTGTTATTTGGAATCCTCAAGTTTAGTTGGTTCTGTTTTCTCTGTCCCCACAGTTAAAGCTTTTAGCATTGTTTGTTTCGTTTTAATAAGTAGTTATATTTGTTTAATGGAGCTTCTGAAAACTGCATTAAAGGCGGTAGCTCGTTGTCCATTTTGGGGTGTCCTTGGAAGGTGAGGGGCCGCACTGTCGGGCACAGTGACAGCTCTGTGCTCTGGAAGTAGCCCCGCTGCCCACCCTGTGGGAGCACCGAGGCCCCGGGGGCAGCGCCTACTCCCACATGGACTGAGACCCCCCAGTACAACCCCTGCGTCCGTCTTCGTGTTTGCCAGCGTGCTGTTTATATGCTGGGCCGGGTTGGACGTACGAAATACACAAACCCTGTTAGGTGTTTCATGGCACTTTACTGTTAAAGTTACTTTTGACGGTGTATTTACACACTGACTTGTGAATTTACCTTGTTCTGGATAATAGTATGAGGATAAAGATGATGGTAACTAACATTTATGGAGCATCTAAGATGTATGAGGTTCTGAGCATCGCAAGAGGTGAGGCTTTGCTCCGTCTGTAGGCCAGACCCAGGGGCTAAAGCTGTGAAGGCTCACAGGGGCTGTGCGGTCACAGCCAACCCCCAGGAAGAAGCCTTGGCCTTCTCTCCTCGCTCTGGATGGAGGGGGGAGGCATTCAGGGACACGTGGAGACTGTCAGAGGACTTTGGCTTTTCCTCGGGGAAGTGGTGGAGCGTTGGAGGGTCTGGGTCAGAGGCTAGCGTAACCTGAGTTCAAAGCTGTTAGGGCCCCGAGGGCCGCTGCACTGAGACTGTGTGGGACGGGGTGAGGCTGGGTAGCCGGAGGGGCAGGGGCGCACACCGAGAAAGCGCTGGTCTGGAAGGTGGAGGACAGTGAGAACTAGT